TGAGGACACACCACTAAGTCATCTAGACACACACGCGCGCGCGCCGCCGCCGCCGTCCGTCCGTCCGACCGGCCGGCTCGGCTCGGTTCGGTTCGGTTCGGTCTAGATGAATTAATTTTTTGAACCGGATTTTGGTGAAAATTAATTATTAATGATTATTAATAATTAATTAATTCGGTGGAATTAATTAGCATTAATTAATTAAAAAATAGTGGAAATTAATTAATATTTAATATTAATTAATTACGGAATTAGTGACGTGTCAATTACTTGCCTTCCAAGAGTCAAAACGCATAACTGTCTGACCAAGCAATAACAGTTACTTTTGACTGGGCCAATTCAACCCTCTCCCACGTTCTTCCTATTTTTTCGAACCGTTTTGTTGAATTAGTGATTATTTTCATTTGCAAATAACTCCAGTATTCACAATCTCGTTTTTTACTTCTTCTCTCTCTCTATTCTGCTTCATCTCAATTTTCTTACTCTGTTTTTTCGACTGCTCCTTGGCAGATACTACGAGTGGTTTCTACACCATCAGAAGGTGTTATTCATAGAACGATTTATCACAGTGCAAGTGATAATCGTATTTTATTCGAACGGGCTGTTTTATCCTGGAGACGTCGCCTATTATCGACTGCCTTGCACTTTGTTGGCATCCGGCGAAACGTCTTAAAGAAAGCGTACCTATCCGCGACTCGACCCGATAAATTTCTCAGTGGCTACTCTTTTTTTTAACTAATCCGTGAACAACAATTGTTTAATTGTATGTAATGAATTTATGTGCGATTTGGGTGTTTGAGGGTTGAAATAGGAGGTTTGGAAGGGCTCTAATGGTGAAAACCACGTGTTTTGGTTTCAGCACATCGTTGACGGCCATCACCTTCGTGGCGGGATAACTGTCATTGTGTTGGGTGAGCTAATGGGCGTCATTATGGTGACGGGGAGACCGTTGTGGTCTCAAGAGCATAAAACCTTGCCATACATAGTATGGATAACGAGTTTGTGAGGGATATGGATGACGGGTGAGTGTGATAGTCGTCATGCCATAGGGGTTGACCGTCAGCCCTGCGTTGACCGTTTCTAGGTCTTCGACTATTTGAGTTGGTTTTGAGTGTGGTGACTTTTTACTGTTGTTTTGGTGAGTTTGGTGAGTTAAGTTGATATGTTAGAGTTTTATGAATAAATGAGTGATGTTTTAAATATTTGTATAATTATATATTATTGAGTTTTATATATATATATATATATATATATATATATATATATATATATATATATATATATATATATATATATATATATATATATATATATATATATATATATATATATATATATATATATATATATATATATATATATATATATATAATGTGAAGTGTGGTTCTGAGAAGAACTATTGTGGTGGTCTTATTGGCCATTGTTTACGGTTCGAAGAGGAACCAATGATGGTTATTGCATATGTTTCATGCGTCGAATCCTTGCATCATATATATTGGGGATAGTTGTAGAGACTTTGGTCCAATAATGAGTCTGTAGTTTAAAAGAGGGTACCAGTGATTAGTCTGTGTTTAGAGAGGAACCATAGGTGATTGGATTGAATCAGTAACATTAATGTGATATCCAAACTTGGTACCACATGCATTGGAGTTGAGGATTTAATTGCATTGCATACATAATTTCCTTATGAATCGGTTATTGTTGTGAATAATTCATATGTTTGGTGATTGTTATGAATGATGTTATCCTTGTTGTCTTATGCACCGCTAACATTTATGAATGTATTTTCACCCCTGTTTGTTTTGTTTGTTGTGTTTTGTATGCTCGTGAAACAGATACTCAAGTAGATGAGCCCTTGGAGGATGGCATAAATGCCTTCTTCATTATTTACTTTTTTCTGAGTTATTTAGTTTCATTTTTGCTCTGATTTGTAACACTGAGATGAGTTATTTGTTGATGTCTTGTGTTTCGAATTTCGAGTTATTAAATTAAATTAAGTACTTTACATGATTGAGACGATTTAAATTATGTTTGATGTTTGAGTTTTGATGTTATTTCATGTTATTAATTTGAGGAAGATGTATGTTGAATATGTGTAACACCGATTTGAGAAATTATATGCTTTATCTTTTATAATTAAAGAGACGGAGTTTTAGGGTGTTACATAGTTGGTATTATAGCAGGTCGGTTCAGTTGGCCTAGGTTTATGAATTTGTTTAAGCCATGTTGTATGATATTGTGGTGAACACTGTCAATACTCGATTCCTCTAATAGCCATTTGCTGGTTACAGAGAGAGAAACGACTGCAAGAATGATCGTGCAATTGCTGATGCTTTAGAAGCAATGGCACATGTGATGGTTGTAACACCCTAAAACCCTGACTCTTAATTTAAAAGAATAAAATCATCATTTTAGAATGCTACTCAACATAACATGCATACTTTTCAAATATTTTAAAAACTCCTCAATTACAAGTTACAACTTGCAGTTGTTGCATCCTAAAATTTGTCCTCCTATCCTGATTTTATCCGGCTTAGACTTCACATTCATTTGCATCCTTTCATTAGGACATTTTGTGTAGTCATGCATTTTATTCAATAAAGTACCATGGGTTCAAAGGATCGGTGATCTAACAATATCAGGGTTCTACAGTGTTTGGTTGTACATATCAAATAAAGGTTGATTTCTTCAGATTCTTCTAGTTCTTCTTCAAGCAGTGACGTGTAGAATTAGAGTTTTGAAGTATGGTTGTTATGGATTTCTTTATCTTTAAGCTACAGAGATTTTCTTCTCTAAAAAAACTCATCAAGACCTTGGAATAGGGTTATTTCCCTATGTTCGATCAAAGTTAGGGTTTTTTTATCTTTATGCTTGAGGCTACTTCAACTCACGCGTAAGGTTTGTTTTTGTGGCCATTGGTCATATTTTATGGGTTTTTCATCTGATGATTTCTTGGAGTTTGTGGATCAAGTCACATGTCTTTAGAAATTGGTCATGATCTTTTATTCAACCTTTCATCAAGTCAAGAGTTTGTTTTATTGATTTAAGAGCGAATCAAGGGTTCATCTTCTCATCCTCCATCAAATTGGGGTTGTGACTAATAAGTTTTGTTGCTTGAGCCAAAAGACAAGTAATGTGTTTCGTGCAAAGACAAGAGAAGAGTGAAGAATCATTTATTCATCACTCAATCCATCAGGGTTTTCTTATCATGTGAGTTTGCTAATGATCATCATCATATAAGGGGTTCTAGTTATTTGCTCCATGAGTCAGTTACTCCTCAGGAGGTTTAGAGGGTGAAATCGAGGAATTCTTCCTATGATGTTATCTTGACCAAGGTTTGCTCTGAAGAATTTCTTAAGTGATTGAGTAATGGACTAAAATCGTATTTACCACTCATTTGTTAAATGAAACTGGGATTGTTTCAAGGGGAAGATGGTTTGGATTTGAACACGAAGTAAGGGTTCGTGTGCAAGATTCATTCAAGGGACATTCAAAAAGTTTTAAATCAAAATAGTACATCCATCGGTTTCAAGATTCAAACATCACAGTCATTATGACTCATTCAAGTTTCATCATCTAAAATTTCTTTAGGGTCTTATTCATCTTCAAAGTTTTGTTTATTTGGATTTCTTGAAGAAACAAGTCACAAGTTACAAGACTTACATCATACACCATTATTCTATTCAAGTTCAATATCATTCATTTCAAGTTTCAAACAAGTTCACAAGTTCATTTATCATTCGTTTAAAGATTCCATTCATGGATTTTATTCAAAATTCAAATGAATTAGAAAAATTCACAATTGAAAGTACACTCATCTAAGTTTCCTTCAATAATATCCATTCGTCCAAGGTTCCTAATGTGTTCAAATGGCATCAAAAAGTTTTAACGTCACGATTTGTCAAGGGTGGGTTGATTTAAGGCTAAGTGTTCAAAAGAAAAGAGCTTTCAAGATTACATCCATGGATTCAATTTCATTAAAAATGTGCAAGTTCTATTCTAATTTCAAATCAAGACATTTTGTGATCAATTTTCATTGAGTCATATTCAATCCAAAGGAAGAAGAGAAAGGCCATTTCATTTCGATCAATCTCGTTACGTCATTTACATTTCAGTATTCATATCATCACTGATACATAGAAACAATTACATAAAATTTTCTTTTACACTTCAAAAGTCTCATGTTTAAACTCTAAAATCCTTGTTAACTTTCGATCACGACCAAGGCCTTTATGGTGTTTTCATGCACAATCTTCACCAAACCTTCAAGCTTTCAAGAATATTCATGAGCAAGTCTTATGTCTCAAGTTTGCAAGCGAACCAATGCTCCATCAAAGCTGCCCTGCACCGTGAACTTGAACTTGCAAAACCATGAACAAAGCAGCCCTGCTGCATATCAGTCCAGTCCCAATAAACTGTATCCAAATCGGTTCGGTTCACTGGTAAAAACCAATTCATAATCCAAAAGCAATTCAGTTAAACCACAACCTGCAGAAAACTACAAAAACTAGTTCATAATAAAATTGCCAGCTCATTTTGAATGAATATAGGACAGAAGGAATTAAATCAGAATTCAGAATTAACAGCTCAGCATAAACTTTGAGAACAAGTTTCACCTCACGATTTCCTCCCCACCCTCTAACAAACCTTATCCACTCTCTCCCAATTTCTCCATTATACCCTCACTGATACTGCTATTTTAACAGAAAACTCAGGAGGATTTAAGGATTCAGATTCACAACATTCAAAGGGAGAAAAATTCACAGCAAAATACATTGAGAAATGTCAAAAACTCACCACAAAAATCTCAATAAACTCTTTGTGAATTCCTTGGCACAATCTTCCTCGATTCTTCAACGTCCATCATCACAATCTTCATCAATCTCACTTCAATCTTTCCCAAATTCTTTAACACTTCTCTGTATCTCATCATCTCGTTCTGCAGCGATTCATCGACACTCTACAACTTCTCTTCCGTAATCATCAACGCGTATATGCAATCATATCAACATCAATCTGCAGTAACAACAACATCACATCAACGCGCATATGCAATCATATCAACATCAATCTGCAGTAACAACAACATCACATCAACACCAAAAACCGCGGAAGAAACAACTGCGACTCACGGAATCAGGAGAAGAGAGAAAGAGGAATTGAACGCATGCATACCTAAGTTTCTCTGAGATATCGCTAACGGTGAAATCGAATCGGAACCATGTTTTGACGATGAAACCAAGTCGGAACTGTGTGTGAAGGTGAAGCCTCCGTTGAATTTTGGAAGTGTACGTCGTTGTGTTCTCGTTTAAGAAGAAGATCGTATCGTGAAAGCCAACCGTCTCAATTTTCTGAGCCCTAATACACCCAAGACGACACCGTTTCAGTATCCCTAGAGATAGAGTGAATGTGTAGTTGGATCTCCATTTGCTTACACCATTGTATCCTGTCTAGCCCCATCTGTGTAGAATTTCCTTGGTTTTTTTTCTATTGCTATTTTTTTTTCTTTCAATTTCTTTTGATAATTTTGGTAGAAAATTAACAAAAAAAAAGAGTGATAGAGGAATATGTAAAAAAATAGTAACAATTTTATTTAGGTTTTGTTTAGAAAATTCTTTAGAATTTAGTTTTTACTATTGTTCGGTAATCACTTGTTAATCATTTGGTATTCATTTGTTTGTTGCTCATTCTCGGCGTAATTTCGCGAGAAAGATGTTGGTGCAACTCTTTGGTTATGTGAGAGGCTTGAGTATTAATTTTATTGATTACCAGTGAAGCTTCTAACATCTTTTCCATTGCTAGCGTAATTTTGAAGAGGCAACAAACATTCTCCATTAGGAAGCTTTGTGTAGAGTTTTCTTATTGCTTATCGCGCACATTGACGATTGTTTAATGGTTGACCTAATCTTTGAGCCTGATACTGATTTAAAGTTTTGACACAATGTAGGCACGTGAATGCTTAGGGTTCACATCACTTGTGGTTGAATTTAGGATTGATTGAATTTAGGATAATTGTTGAGTCATTAATTGGATGACCCTTTGTGCCTCGATGCTTACCTTGTCATGAGGAGCTTTAATTGATTTTAATTTTGATTTGAATTAACTTTTGAGCATGCTTTGAGTTTTATTTAAACACTTGATGAATGATAAGTTCAATGATAATTCCATGATAATTTGAGAATCATTTGACATCATTTAGAGGGTCTCTTCCTATGTCCCTTTCTTGACCATTTGCTTTAAGATTAACTATGATTGCTTAATGTTTAAGGTATGCACTTGTGCAACCATTTTGGGTTACTTTCCCATCTCTTATTTATTACTTCATCATAAGTTAAAGCTCTAAAGTTCATCTTTATGAACCATTTTAGGTGCTCTAACTTGATGCTTCTCTAGACTAATCCTTTGAGGACTTTTATGCCTATCTTGTGACCATATCTTTGAGCATGTCTTATGCAAGTTCTTATTATTGATTATGGGCTACATTTAAAGTAGATATTTTGGTCATGCTACTGACCTACATTGTCTTGTACCAATATTTCATTCTCCTTTGATCCTTTGATTAGCACTTCATTGCTAAATCAATTCGGCGATGCTTCTTTTGAGTTGAATTCTCAATGACTTGAAATAGTTTTGAACATGATGCTTGTAATCCATGATTAGATGTTGGATACCTTGAGTTAGATTCTGACTTGTATCATCTAATGGCTCTATTACTTATTCATTTGTTCAATTGCATGCTATATATGAAAGATTACGTCTTAAGGATAACATTGTTGCTTGAATTGCCTAACTTTTTGAACATTATTTGAAGATGACATTATGTGATTCATTTGCAATATTAAGACTTCTTTAAAGTGACTTCTTGTATAAGATACAACATACCTTGTAACCATATGGGAGCCTTAGGGTATTAATTATTTGTGGTGAAGTTTTCAATAAGAACTAACTTGATAATTGTGTGGTTCTTTAGCCAATTCTTGTATGATCTTTGTATGATCTTTCTTCTACCTTTGAGGCATATTTGTGTGAGTCCCTTGAGACATAGTTGCTGACTTGTGAAGGCCTCTACTTTACCTGCTTCATTTCATCTTTACTTGTTTAAATGTGATGTTTGTTTTACACTTAAAGCCTTGAGTGTATGTGTGGGAATGAATTGCTTATGTTTGGTTTGTAATGCCTTAGGGTGGTACCATCATAGCATGACCCTTAGGGGATATTTAAGTCTTCACTTAAACACATTTCTTACTTGGTGATTGATGATTTAAAGTATGTTAAAACTTATGCTTTTGTTGATTGCTACTTGTGTTGTTTGTTTGATCTTTACACTTAGGTATTTGGTTGGCTCTTTAGTCTTTCCTTTGATACTTGTTTGTGTTTTTGTTTATCTTCTTAGGATCTTTAATCCATGGTAACCCTCATTGGCGGTAAACTTTCCTCCAAGATGACCATCCCTTCGTCTTCCGAAGAATAAATCTCCACTTATGTTTGATCGCGACTTTATCGTCTAAATTAATCGGGAGACTGCAAGTATACAGCCCTATCGCGTAGTTTTAAAAGATATCGAACCTAAGGGACTATAAATCGAACTAACGTAACCTAAACTACTGTGTAAAGCTATAGCTATCGAATAATTGATTAGGGGAATTTTTGGGTAATAAAACTTAATTCTAATCGAAATAATAATAATGCGAATATCGGTATGTACTTCGTTAACATTTAAAGAATCCGGCTTTCCACTGGCTTATTTTCAAAAATGATAATAATATCTTTTTCAGCAAAAAAGTATTTATTCAAAAATCTATTCTCAAACTTTCGCTCTATTGAATTAAATTATAATTTTAAACTCTGATGTATGCTTTCGCTATCCCATTGATTTTAAAATTACTTTTTGAAAATAAATAAAGTTTAATTGGTTTTAAAACGCTGTCGCAGTCTTTAAAAACAATACCTAGTATCTACTATCTGATTCTAAACCTCAAACTGCCGCTCTATTGGTTTCTAATCTTAGTCGGTTTATTAACCTCAAACTTTCGCTCTGTTGGTTTCTAAACCTTTTTAACAAAATAAACTAGATAACTAAATCAGAAAAAGTGTTTATTTTATAAAATATAATCAAGCCTGTTTATTCCGGATCCATTCAAGTTAACTCGTTACATACCGATATTTAAATAATTTTAGCCAGACATACTCATAAAAACAGACGTGGATACATTAAAGGAATTAACATTCATAAATAAATTCATGGCTAAATAAATATCTCATGCAAATAATTAATTAAAGCGATGTAAATAAGGAACCTGAATTAAATAAATGTTGGAAACAATCCTTGAAGCTTGAATCAATTCGTACAGAATCCCGGTTCTTCAACGGAAATAAAATCTAAGTATTCGAAAAGGAAAAGAAGCTGGCTGGAAAAATAACTACTAGAAATTGAATTACAATGGAAACTAGTAAATGCGATGAAAGTATAAATTCTGAAAACTGGAAAAAATCTAAGCAAAAACGGTTCCCAATTTTGATTTCTTGATGTCCTTTTATAGTCGTCGAACGTAACCACCTCTTGAGATCTTTTTTTGTCCCACTTATCCTTTAATTTCTCGTTTTAACTTGCCCACGTTGAGACGGGCGCCTCAATTGACCTGGTTCTCCATTGACCACGTTGAGACGGGCGCCTCCCACTAAGGGGAAAGTCCGAGGCGGGCGCCTCAATTGTAGGAGAAGAGTTGAGACGTGCGTCTCACTCTTGCATGCTCTTTTAGGGTTTTCTTGCTTGCGTGGGTCTGAATTCGTTTGGGCCCGTTTGGAGATAATAGACCCTTTTGATCCATCATTATTGCTTTGCACACCCCTTTTCTTCATTTCTTGCATACTTAGTCCAATAACTCTCTCAATTTCTTCACTTTGCTCAATTTGTCTAATTAAAATAAAATACCTGAAACAATAAAAATACCGGCGTAATATGGAAATAAAATGAAATAATTAAATAAAAATACTAACATTACCTATGAAAATTAAATCAAATATACTATATAAAATTGTGTTATCAAACTCCCCTATACTTAAACTGTTGCTTGTCCTCAAGCAAAAGTAAAAAGGTGAAAATCACTGACGCGCAATTAAACACAGATATAAGAACATACATCACTTCGTACCAGGTTGCAAGTTGAATTTTTTCGTTAGAGAATTTAAGTCGAACTTAAACACCAAAGTTACCGTAGGAACACTGGATAACCCCATTTAAGCAGACCAATTTAAGTCATGTCATTATAGCTTAACCTAATACTATGTTTTATTTCACCCGTTTTCATTCTAGTGCAATCACATTAAGCCCTTTACCTTACACACACATAATGGAGTAACTGGTTAGTGAATTTGATCTTAGTAAGCCAGCTAGGAGTTCTGGTAATTTAATCATATGGTACTCCCTTTTTCCAATTAAAAATTGAGGGGGATCGAACCGTAATTCGCCCTACCAAGTTCAGCACCAGGGACCACTGAACCAATTTATAATGGATTATTATGCATTTAAATTTATAGTTTCTGCAACTGTTGGATTAAATGATCTGGTAAGGATCATCTAACTTAATAAGTGCATCTTCAGATAAAAGCAATTTCTTAAGAATATTTGATCAATCACTTATATTCATCAGCTCCCCACGTAGTTTGTGTTTATGGCGGTGCCGACTGCTTAATAAACTACTCAGGGCTAGTTTAAAACTAAGTTTTAAAGGTTTTGGTATAATAAGTACTTAAATCGATCCAACATATCGGGGGTTTTGAAGTGTTAAGACGATAGTAATTTTGCTAAGTTGCTCGAATTCTTATTTATAATAGGCAACCTTAATACTAGTTGAATAATGTTTTATAAATGTGTGTTAAAATTGTTTTATTTTATTCGTTATGGCTCAAGAAATAGGGGGAATTCGAGTAAGCACAAATTTTTGCATAAGAGATTAAAATTTGCATAAATAAGTATTTTATTGAATTGAAATTTTGCAATACAAGAAAAGAAATAAAAGGAAAAATACTACAAAGAGAGCAAGGGAAATGGAAATGAACAAGGAAATGATCTGACTCCCCTATACTTAAAAGGAGCAATGTCCTCAATGCGATAAAAAAACAAAGGAGAATCAGATGAAAAGAGAAAGGCGATCACTTGTTGCTTTGAGAATCATGATTTCTTGTTCTTCGTCCTCTAGTACGAGGTCTTCGTCGTACGTCAGAATTAGAATCATTAAGATGAAGTGCGTCTGCTATGCGAGCTTGCAAAGATTCGAGGTTACGATCATGGCGAAAGGCATATTGTTGTTGTTCGCATCGCATCGCTTGTTGATCACGTTGTACTTCTTGTACGAGACGTAAAGTCTCAGCTTGGTTTTGTTGCATGGCATGGAACAACTGATCTTGACGAAGCATATGAGCCTGCATGGCTGCGAAATTTGCAGCGGGATTATCTGGATGTTGGGCGGCAGGTGCATCAAGAGCATAACGCTAATTTGCGCGGACTCGGACGTCGATACGATTCGGACAAGGCAACACAAAATCAGGAATTGGACGACGATTTATCACCAATGTAAACCGACCATCATGTCTTGGAGAGATTATATGGGAATCTCGGCAATAGATGACATCAAGAAGAGTGGCTGGCATCATGTATTGTAACAAAGAAAGTAGCTCGGCGGAAAGGCCTAAAGCAAATGTTAAAGATGTGATGATGCCTCCAAAAACAAAGGGATTAGTACCTGCCGCGTTCACGCATGTGTGGATGTGACTGAGCATGAAAGGAGCGACGTTGACAGCCTGACCATTAAGGGCACAGAAAATGATGAACAGCTCATTTTGGTTGACCTTGTGATTATTGGTCCGACCAAAGATGGTGTTAGCAAGAACGCGGTGAAAGTACCTTAATGCAGGGTTATGTATTTGAGAAGCATAGAGGTCGCGCCAACTTTCCGTTGTTTGACCGGTTAGATCATTCCATAAGGAGAAGCCGACTTGATCCCAAGAAAGATCGTGGTCATCGTCGAAAGGCTTGTAATGAACATGCTCGCCGCGAGTGAAAGATAAGAGTTCGGCGACTCTTTCTTGATCAAGAGAGTACTCTTGGTTGAACATGCGGAAGTTGGCGGTTCCGGTTGTGTAGGGATCGTCGACAGGTGTTGTGTAAGAGAAGGAACTAAAAAATTCAAGCACGAGTGGTTCATAAGTTGGACATGGGTTTGTGCATAGACTGGTCAAACCGGTGTTATTGAGCATTAATACGATGCTATCGGTCATTCCTAAGGTTTCCAAACACTCCGAACTTATGTATTTTGTAGGGACGACGGAACGAGTATAGAATTTGTTATACTTTTGTAGTTGTTGGCCGTCGTCGTTGTCGCGGAAAATGATATTGGATAGGTCGGGTGGTGGTCGGTCGAGCTTAACTTGTCTTTGGTTGTTTTGTGGAGCCATGGATGGATATGGGTAGAAGAAGAAAAAAGAAGTATAAAATATGGGTGTAGGAGAGGAAATGGTAGAGATGGTTAGAAATGTTGTGAAATTAGAAAGAAGGATGAATGGTATTTATAGTGGAGTGAGAGTTAAGAGTGATAAATTATAATAAGTTGGTGTTGGAAAATGGAGGGGAAAATTTGAATGGGGATTAATGGTGGGAAATGGAAGGAATATAGTTTGAATGAGAATAAAGAGTGTTGAATTTGAATTAATTGGGGTGAGTGGGAAAACGAAACGGACAAGACAAGTAAATGCAGGGAGACCAACTTTTACTGCGCGAAGCACAAGCTGAGGCGACCGCCTGACATAGGAGACCACGCGTGAGGCGTGCGTCTCAAAGCTGCTTGGGAAGTTGGAGGCGTGCGTCTCCTGTCAGCGTGTTAGGCTGAGGCGCGCGTCTCAGCTAGTTGGGAACATGCAAGCGCGCGAATGACAGTATGCATGTAATAATACTAGTATTCTTATAACAAAATATTTTTATATGATATAATATTTTAAGCCGCAATATTATAATTATAGGAAAATAAAATGAACTGCTTTTAAAATG